GGGCTGCTAACCTCAAGGTCAGCAGTTCAAAACTAGCAGCTGTTCCATGGGAGAAAGATGAGGCTTTCTGCTCCTGTAAATATTTACAGCATCAGAAAATCTATACAGTCAGAACTGACTCCTTGGCACATTACCACCACCACCAAAGGATGTGAGCAAACTCCAGCCCAGTGGTTCTCACTCTTGGTTTGCTGTTATTAAGTGCCGTCAAGTCATTTCGGGCTCATAGTTATCCTGTATATGATTTCTAAGGAGTGGCTGGTGAGTTTGAACCACTGAGCTTGTAGTTCAAACAGACCTTGAAGTCAACTGCTTATCCTATGGGGACACACCAGGACTCCAGGTTACACCTGTGTTGTTGTTGTTGTTGTGTGCCAGCAAATCGTAGCGATCTATGTGGTTTCTGAGAAGCGGCTGGTGAATTTGAACCGCTGACCTTGCGGTTCACACTGACTTTGCAGTCCAACACAGTAACCCATTAACCCACAGTGCCACACCAGGATCTGTAAAACTTTAAAAACTGCAGATGCCTAGTCTTCCTTCTCAGAGATTTTGAGTTAATTGGTCTGGCCTGGGCACTGACGGATGATTTGATTTGTTAATCCACCCAGGTGATTCCAATGTGCAGCAACCAAGGTTGAGAACCACCACTCTAACCCAAGAAATCATCAACTTTGGTATTAAGATGAGGACACTGAGACCCGAGGAGGCTATGGGACACCTAGAGTTAGCCACACCACTCATTAATCTCACACCAGGGAACCCCATCAAATTCCTACCCCTCCCTATTCCTGAACTCGTCCAAGAGCATGGGAGTGGAATTAAATGGACACATATCTAGTCTTCCTTTTGTTGTTGTTGTCAAGTGCTATCAAGTCAGTTCTGACCTATAGTGACCCTGTAGAGAGTTTCCTTAGAGCAGCTGGTGAGCTTGAACCACCGACCTTGAAGATTACCAGGACTTCAGTCTTCTCTTTTAGTCTTATTCAAAACCTCCCTAGGTGGAGGCTGAGTGTGTGCATATATGTTTGTGCATATATGTGTATGTAAAAATACTCCAGGATAAGTTACTGTCTTTAATATGTGAATACCTTCTGGGTGTATGAAAGGAAAGAATTCACCTTTGTCTCTTAACCCACTTAAAGGGTCAAATATGACTTTAACTGAAGACCGCAGGGAGAAAAAACTGGCTTTAGGAACTATCACTACGAGTCACACATACAAAGATCACAGAAGACTGCTTTCAGTATGTTGTTGTGGCTAAGTGCTATCAAGTCAGCTCTGACTCATAGTGACACTGTATGGGGTTTCCAAGGAGCAGCTGATGGGTTTGAACTGCCGACCTTGTGGTTTGCAGTCCAATCCTGACCCTACAGTGCCACATCAGGAGTCCTCTCAGTATAGACTTAGCTTAAAGGTAATCATAGACCTGTGGAGAAAGCAGAAATGGCCTGCTTACAAGTTCCCATAAAATGTAGCAGAGCCTCCAAAGATGACTTTACCAAAACTTGCTGTTGAGTTGATTCGGACTCATAGTGACCCTATAAAACAGCGTAAAACCCCACAGGGTTTTCAAGGCTGAGATCTTTATGCAAGCAGAATGCCACATCTTTCTCCCTTGGAGCAGGTAGTAGCTTCCAACCACCAACCTTTAGGTTAGCAGCTTAAACCCTAATCAGTGTGCCAACAGTTCTCCTTCTGTACCTTCTAGGCTCTGTAGGATAAGCACTGGACTGCAAATCACAAGGTCAATAATTCATGCCCACTAGCCTCTCCATAGGAGAAAGATGCGGCTTTCTGCTCCTGCAAAGACTACAGCCTCGGAAATCCTATACAGGGTCACTGTAAATTGGAACAGACTTGAAGACACTTAACAACAACAACCTACTTTTCCACTCTTATCATATCCATCATTTCATTTTCTCCTTATTGCAACTATATGAAGTAGGTTAGGTAAAGAATTGTATTAGTATTATACTTCTCAAATGAGGAAATCTGAGATCCACAGAGAAGTTGCTTGATCCAGTACATGTAGGTAGTGGTAAAGATACCTTCGAGACCGGAGTCTTTCCCATATATCGCTCCTCAATATGTCAGCAAATCCCCAAGTACCAATCCAATTTCGGATCTAGAATGGCCTGTTAGGAATGCTCTCTGATACTCCAGGTAGACTTGGTCTAGGACCTACAGCACTGTGTTTTTAGTTGTGGCTTGCATACAAGACACCTGGGAATCTTGTTAAAATGTAAGTTCTCACTCAGGACGATTGGGCAAGAACCTCAGCATTTCTAACTAACTTCCAGATGCTGCTGTTTCTGCTATGAGAAACACACTACAGATAGCAAGATACTAAATGGTTTTGTTGAAATGCAGATTTCCCAGTCCCACCAAAGAGGAGCAGATGGGCCTATGAATCTTTCTTTTAGCCAACATCCCAGATATTGGCCCCTGCTCTAAATCATGAACTTTTTAAATTTTAAAACTAAGTCTGTTTGTTTTAATCCCCTGTCCCCAGCTCATATCACAGAGCCTGAAATATATAATATGGTCAGTGAATCATTGTTTAATGAAATAATGAATAGTTCATAAAACACATCCACCCTTTGAAAACATATATACCCAACTTACCTAATAAAAGTCTGGTTTTATCTTTGCATTCTGGTGTGTTCCAAGGGTTGTTACAGGAGCCCCAGGGCAGCACATACACAAAGGAGGCAAATAGGTAGAAAAGTGTGTAGCAAATAATCACATTGTAGTATATGGCTATTAGGACGGAGATGATCAACATCGCGATGCCACAGCCTGTGGAAGCAAAAATTCCAGGGTTCACTCCATCCCAAGTCCTATGAAATTCATATGGTTGGACAAAAGGAGGTGGGTGACCTAAGACATTGACTCTATTTTACAAATGAATCTGCTTATAATGGAGTGGGTTCTGTGTCTACTAGGGACACTGAGGCATCCAGCTAGGAATTGAGCCAGGCAAAGGATGGTCCTAGACCATTCTAGAGAGGGAGAAGGCAGAGTGGAGCCAATCGAATTTAAGAAGGAATGAGTTCTATTTACCACAGAAGTAGTTCTCCATCTCTTGGGTAAATCTTAGTGGTGACAGTGAGGGCAGAGTAAGGCCTGAGGAAGCTGGGAGACAGAGTGGACTTACCTTGTAGAGCTGGGATGGCCTTCCACACAGACACTGGCCCCTGGCTGGCAAACTGGCCCAGTGACACCTCTAGGAAGAATATGGGCAGCCCAGCCAAAGCTAGCATCATCAGGTAGGGAATGAGGAAAGCACCTTGGAAAGAGAGAGCCACATGTGAGAGCCCTGAGAGGTAAAGGCCGGGCTCTGGCCCACCTTGGGCACAATCTCTGGTTTGGGGACTAGGCTTCCTTTCAGTGAATTTTCAGGGATGATTTAGCTCCTTTTCTGAAGAAGCTTTTGATATTCCTGTTCAATATTTAAGAGTCTTCTTCCAGGGGTACCCATGCAAACACATTACTTGTTTCATTTCCCACAGGCTCTAGGGGTTGTGTGGTGGTGGGCTGGTTTATGATTTGGGGTTGTTTTTTTCTTAGTAAAGTACTTCAATATTCCAAAATTAAGCCGTTTTAAGGTTCAACAACTCAACGCCTTTGACTCATTAGTGGAGTCTGGGCCATCTGAGGACCTAAAGTAGGCCAAGCTGGACTCCAGTGTCCTCCTCCTCAGTAACCCAAACTCAGCCAACCAAGTTGGACCTAAACAGGCACCCTGGTACTCACCACCTCCATCACACATTCTCTCAACTTCCTTCTCCTTCTATGAAGTCCCTCTCATCCTTCAAGGTCAACTCAAATGCTCCCTCCTTGAAGAAGTCGCCTTTGGTCCTCCTCCAATACTTATCTGCCTTTCTCTAGCCACTAATCACTTAACACTATGCAGAAGTCTTATCTAGTCTGAAATCAACATTAGTTCATCCTTCATCTCTTTATCTCCCCCATCTCCCCTACTCTCCACTCCCACACAAAAAGCCCAAATTAGGGCAATAGTACCTGGTAGGTTCCTACAAACTTGCTGAGAATTCTCTAGGGTTCTTTCCCTTCAGGCTTCTTGGTGGTTGTTAGGGAGAGGGCTAGGGAATAGTGATAATCTTTGGAGAGGTTTTGATCAGCAAGGGCTGTTAATAGGTCATAGCCAATTCAGGGACAAGAAAACCCGTAGCTCACACTGTGTTGATCTTTCACTAGCCTTTCCTGACTGTTCACCAATCTCTCATCTTTATCCAGCTCAGGGGCCTTTGGTACACAGGGTTTCTCCAAGAGGGAAGGGGAGTAAAAGCGGGATATCCTGTCTTTCTCTTAAATTGCCTGTGTTTTCGATAAGGGCAGACGAGGATTGTGCAACAATTCTCTTTTGCTCGTGGGAAGGAGGAGGCGAGCTTTGCATCCCGTACTGCGGGCCCTAGAGCCGCAGTGCGGAAAAGGGCTGCCTCCCGCTGCCGGCGCCTGGCTGCACTCGGGTCCAGGGAATCCGAACCGCTTTGTTTAGCTTAGTGCACAGATTCGCACTTGGCAGATTCCAGGCAAGCAAAACAGAACACTTTCTCCCGCCAAATGCCCTTCCATCCCGCACCCACCGCCACCCTGGGAACCCACCCTCCCCGGGAATCAGGGTGGTTAAGCAGTTCACCCTGCAATCACTGGAAGCCACTTCCCGGACTCCTTTTGGGGGAACTCCCCGCGGAACCTGGCGGAAGCCATCTGTTGGAGAGCCTGGAGTCTCAATACACCTGTGTCCAGGGCACCCCTGATTGCACACGTTCTGCCCTAAGGCCCTCCGAAAGTCCTTATCAATTACTCTACTTTGGAATTGGGGAGGGGCGCAGGCCTATATTTTTCCGTTTTAATAGCCCCAGTCCGACACTCACTTGCTTGCTCATGCCCTGTGCATCAAAATCTGCCTGGAGCGGGCACATGAGACAAACAAGAACCACTTAGGCTGATAGGGTGAAGGCATGATAGGGTGAAAGGGGGCATTGCAGATCCTTTAGGTTCCACTGAGATGCAAATTCCTAGACTCCGGCTTTGCATGTTTACTTAGGTGAGGAAGGGGGGGTGAGATGCCCGAGCTGTGCAAGCAAAGGGGCTCCTGAATGTGCTGGATCCCCCCACTCCTCCAAGGGTACAGCAGAGTACAATGAGCAATAAAACGGGCAAACAGTGCCTAACTGATACCGGGTTTCACCTCCGAAACGGGTTTCCTTCCAAAGCAGATTGTTTTATCCATTTAGGACAAATGAAACGAAAACTATTTTTACTAAACGATTTTGCTGAAGTTAGAATATGGCCTGCTGGCACCCAAATGGGGTGTGATTCTGGGCGCTACTGAGAGGTGTCTATTCAAGCTCCAAGAGCACCACCCCAGCCGCTCCCTCGTCGCCCTTCCTGGCTCTCTTACATTCCTCGCCCCTCTGGACCCCAGCGCCCGGTTCCTAAGTCTCGGGTTTCCAGGGTATTATCTTAAAACGACAGGAATACGGGACTCTAGGATTGCACAGCCACAAGCTCTAACGTCATTTAAGTTCGCAAAGGCATCCGCTTCCGGAATCCTTGTCCGATACACTGAAGTTTAAACTTTCAGGCGTAAATGCCCACTTTTTCAGGACCCAGCCTCCAACCCTAACCCCAAGCTGGGCCAGTGTAGAATCACTGGGCCCCAGCCCTTTCCTGCACCCCATTTATAAGTGGAATCTCTGGAATCTAATGTGGATCCTAATGGCCGCTCCTGCTCTCCAGCCTTTGCACTAACACGGACTGGGAATGTTGTTGTTGTTGTTGTTAAGTGCCGTCAAGTCGGTTCCGACTCATAGCGACCCTGTACAGGGTTTCCGAGGGTGTAAATCTTTACGGGAGTAGAAAGCCTCATCTTTCTCCCGCGGAGCGGCTGGTAGTTTCGAACCGCTGATCTTAAGGTTCGCAGCCCGATTCGTAACCACTACGCTACCAGAGCTCCTTAACACGGACTGGGAATAGGGGTTAAAATATGAGGAGGCTGACTCGAGCCTCCCCTTACACACGACCCCTCGGCTGGCTTCGAGTCCCCCCAACCCGCGAGTGCCCGCCCCACCTCGCCACGGGCGGAAAGAGCGGAAAAGCCATACCTCCCCCGTTCTGGAAGGCCAGGTAGGGAAACCTCCAGACATTGCCCAGCCCCACTGCGTACCCCACCATGGACAGGATGAAGTCCAGTTTGCTGGACCAGTTCCCTCGGGCCTTATTCTCATCCCCTTGCTCGTCCTCCTGGGGGCGGAAAAGCACATTGTTGGATAACAGCCCCAGGGCTGGTGCAAGCAGGCCCCATTCAGCACCTCCCCCCTGATGAGGGTCCTTCCCACAAGCAGGCCCCCACTTTTCAACCGAGGATGCATCGGCAAGCAGGATCCAAATTCTGAACAGAGGATGCATCTACAAGCAGGGCCCTCACCCCTCAACCCTGCACTGAGGGTCTTACAGCAAGCAGAACCCCAATTCTAATCTGGAGAGCCACCATAAAAAGACCCCAGAACCCCTCTTTCCCAAATCCTGCAGTCAGGGTACACCAGCAAGCAGCTCTCCCCAAACCTTGACCAATAGGCCAATTGCAAGCAGACCCTTCCAACCCCCAATCCCTCACAAAGAATTCATTTGGCAAGCAGGCTCCCAATATCATGCCTAAAGTCCCAGCAAGCAGGTCCCTAATCAACTCCTCCTGCCAGTAAACCCCTGACTGCACCTCTTCCCCCAACACTTCCATCTTCTGTAGTCAGTGGCAAGACCAGAAAGGGAGCTGTAATGCCTGAAGCCAGCCAGAGCCCCTACATCCCGACAGCTGTCAATATCTTACAGGTGGGAACGAATTTATGCCTGGTCAGCTAATTTAAGGGAGCACTGGGGCAAGGGAGATAAACAGGAAGGAGACTTAGGGGTGAAACCAGAGTGGGGGGTAGAGAATGAGAAGATCTAAAACCTTGACTTCTAATCTAAACTTGACTACTAACCAGCTAGGTAGCCCCAGGCAAGTCACTTGCTCTCTCTTAGCCTCTGTCTCTGTAAAATGAGGGATTTAGAACAACAGTCTCCTGAGGCACCTTCCAGCTCTGTGAATCTTTGGGGCTACTTCTTGAAACTCACTCTAAAATGCTTTCTGGGATCACTAGAATTGCTCACTACAAAGCAGAAAAATCTGGGGGAGGGAACACCTCAAACAAATGTTGCAAGTGTTCGCTTCCAGGGATACATGCCACTGCACAGCTTCTACCGCCTTTGTCAGTCTCTACCTTCTATGTCAGTAACCTGGCATGTTTCACTTTGTTCTACAGGCCATGAGAAGAAGCAGCTATGGGAAGGGAGACCAAAACCTGAAAGATGCTCAGGGTTGAAAATTTGCTGGACCTGCATCTTTGGGAACTAGGGACCAGAGAGAGCCTCTTATCTTTAACACTGTCCCCTGAATGTAACCTTCTAGCCCTCTCAACCCACCCTCCAATTCTTCCAGGGTTGAGAAGGGTGGGAGTTCCAGGGAGTTCTGACTCCTTTGCCGCAATGCGGAGGTTAAACAAGACACTTGAAATGAATTTTCTGCCTCCTTCCACCTAAGGCATGCTCTCAGAGGCAGTTAATACACACAGACCAGTGCTCCAGACATAGATCCCAAAAGCAAGGGCAAACAGAAAAGTCATTTGTGTTTATTTCTAGTTATGAAATCTTGCTATGGGAGCCTGTGACTGTGTGTGTGTGTGTGTGTGTGTGTGTGTGTGTGTGTGTGTGTGCATGCACTGGAGTGATTTGGGCTGGATAAAAACGGAATCCTATAAAAGGGCATGTTCTGACTGCTAGACACATGCCTAGTGTGCGGGAAGTAACAAAAGGCAGACAAGGAAAAAGGGAAGAGCTAGAGTGGGCTAAACAAAGACAGAGTAGAGAAGAAATTAAAAAGAGTGTGGGGAGGAGGGGAGGGGAGGACTACATAGAGGAAAGGGTCACCAGGAACAGAAGTAGCTGCTGGTACCCAGAAGGGTGTAGCCTTATCCCTAACCCAGAATTAGCTCTGTAGACTTTCCATTTCTCTGGTTGAGGTAAATTAGCACCAAACACAAGGATGGATCCAGGTGTGTGGAACCTGATGCTTATACAATGGAAGGAGTCCTCTTTCAGGAAAAAAACCTATGATGACAAAATTGGGTACAGGGCCTTGGAGGCCCAATGCAAATGGAAGGGTCCTGAAGTTAATTAGTAGCATTCAGTAGCCTCATGGTGTAGGATAAGCTCTGGACTGCTAATCACAAGGTCTGTGGTTCAAACCCACCAGCCACTCTTCAGAAACCCTATGCTGGTGGTTATGTGCCATGGAGTCGGTTCCAACTCATAGCGACCCTGCATAGGGTTCCCGAGGCTGTAAATCTTTACAGTAGCAGAAAGCCTCATCGTTCTCCAGCAGAACCACTGGTAGTTTCAAACTGCTGACCCTGAGACTAGCAGCCCGATTCATAACTACTACACTACCAGAGATCCTTCATAAACCCTATACAGGGTTATTATGAGTCAGAACCAACTAGAAGACACTTAACTACAGCAACAGACTCAAGGTAAACCAAGTTTAATCAAATGCAATCTCATATGACTAGTAACTCCCAGTGCAAAGGGCTATACAGAACTGTAAACCATTGTTCCCCTGGAAGTTTTTTCTTTATTTAAAAAATGAATTAAAGACCAAGTTGTTGGCAAGGGAGTCTGCCTCCACTACTTAATGTGTTCACGATCAGATTCCTGGTGTCACTGCGTCTCCAAAGAGGCCCTTAGCAGGCAGCTCATATAGTCCCTATCCTTCTGGCCTCCGTGTACGTGCGCAGCCCTGAACTGGCTACCCCAGAGCAATGCGAGCTTCCAAAGCCCCAAAGCTTCCTCCCACCACCTGGCACTGCCAATCCCTCTCCCCATCAGCACACGTGCACCCGCTGACGACTGAATCGCCACAAACGAGGCTGGAGAGCAGGAGCGACGCGGGCCCAGCGCACCCTGCTTACCTGGGCGACAGCGCTGACAACGCTGCCTGGGAGCACGGACGTGATTCCATCCGTGCCCAGCACCACGGTGCTCCGGCTCATATTTACCCAGCCCACAGCCGGGGTATTGTTCCGCTCCAGGGTACCCTTGCCCACACTCACGTTCGCATCCTCCTCAGGGCCGCGCAGAGCTGGGATCTTACAGTGCAACGCGTTGGCAGGCGCGGCTCCCCCAGCCAGAGGGGCTGCCTGTGCGCTGTGCGCCTCGCTTAAGTCCCGCAGAGCCACAGAGGCCGCTGGCGCCCGCGCGCTACTCAGTTTGCAAGCCCCCATTCCTAGCCGCTCGGCCTCACAGGCTCGCGGGTCCGGCGACTGGAAAGTTTGCGCGCCGGTGGAAGCAGACCTGGGCATACGGGGTGGCGGCGCAGCAGCCGCGGGTAACTCCTGCTCCGGGCTCGTCCTGAGCGCGCAGGGGCCCTCCGGATGACCAGGCGCCGCCGCCGCTTCCAAGCTGTTGGCTGGTTGGTTATTCATTTCCTTGGGAGCACCGCAATCCTGCAACCACAACGTCAAAATTCGTGCAAAAAATAGTGACTGCAGCTTTGAGACTATCTGTACTTATATATGGATATGTTCACAACTCAGATGCAGACATAATATCTGGGAGAGCAAGTTGGAATCTTCCCCCCCCCTCTTTTGCCAATAAAACACTGCAACCAGTATTTCTCAATTTGCCCGTATCTCAATCCCTAGATGACACAAAAAAGCTAACATTCTCACTGATAGAAGGTGAACGAAACAGGAGACAGAAATGTTTTTGGCAGTGGGAGGAGAGGATAGAAATAGCCCTAAGGCCAATCCCTCCCACTTTGGATTTCACATCACGGCGGTAGGATGCCCGCTTCCTCATCACCATTGTAGAAAGATTCTTTAATTTTCCGCCCCATTTCCTTTGTCATTCAACAATGCACATTGCCCTTTTTTCCCCCCTTTTATAAGCGATAGACAAGCTGTGACCACAAAGCTGATGCCCTGACACCTGCGAGTGCTGGAGGCCAAATCTGTTTTGCGAATCCAGAGCTCCAAAACCCACCCCCGCTCGCTCGCCAAGCAGGTAGCAAAGGCAGGGGTAAAGATCACTACTAAAATTACAACAACAATAAATCATTAACAATAGTGATAATTACCAGACTTAAAACATAAGGTAGTAACCGATTCTGTTATCTTACTGTACCTACATTCTCTTCTAGATTCCCAGAAATGTGAATGAATGTAGAAAGGGTTTTGTTGTTGTTTTTCAAGCATAGCTATTCACATCAGTCTAATATCTTTAAACTCATCTCCTTTCTTGGGGACCAAAACTCATGACTAATTTTCATTTACTTTCTCCCAGTTGAGTTTCAAATGAAAAGAACTGCCAACGGTGGCTTTCTTTCCATTTTCCCCACTCTCCTAGTGTTATCTTCCAGAGACTCCTAAACCTTAGCACCCATAATCATCACGGCTATACAATAAAAATAATCATAATACTTCCGTTTTAACAGCTGGTCTCTCGTTTACCCACCCCCCCTTCACAAATGCACAGATCACAACTCTTAATTTTCACCAAAACTAAGTACCTTGTCTACAGCCAGCATTCCAGTCTCACTAGCGTCTAGGACCCAGAGCGACCCGCCTCTGTATCAGCATCTGGTTTTTCAGCACCGAGGACAGTGCCCGAAATCGCGCCAGTTAGGAGCTACAGCCAACCTCTTTGGTCTAAGTCTCTAGAATCTCTTTCTAAGTTTAGGCCAAACTCCCAAGCACAAATATCTACCTTCGAGAATTGTTGTCCTCCACATCCCAAAATACTCGGAACATTTAAAACAAAAACACATCCAAAAAACGAATCTACCCTTCCCCATCTCCTTAGCCCGCTCTTCACTTAAAAGAACAAAAGCAAACACTCACCATGTCTGACATAGACAACAGATTAAACCGGTACAGAGTGAAACCAGCTATCGACAAGACTGGCTTTGACTCCAGCAAGACAGGGGCTTTCTATATCTCCTTGGGAAAGCCTGGGTTTGCGTCAGTGCAAAGCAAGGTGCCCTTCGTGTGACATTTTCTTGATAATACAAGTTTGATAAATCATTTACCACTTGGATTCGAGTTTTAAAGGAACAACAGCCGAGAAAGCTCTGGTCAGTAGTCACTCCCGCGAGAGGAGGCTGCGTGTTCAGCGTGACTCATGTGGGTCTGATTACTAAACCGAAGCAGGAGGGAGGGGACAACAGAAGTTTGCCTCCTCCTAATTAAGGGGAACATGAGAGGGACACGTCCCACTGCGTCCTAGGCTAGACGCAACCTCAGCCGCCAACGGAGCGGATTAAGTTTGTGGGGTTAGAGATTGAGAGGTGGTGGTAAATCTCTGTGGTGTCTCCGTCTTTCTTTTCCACTACATCCCGTCACTTTCTCCTCACATCTACAGGTATCAGATTCCCTAAAAAGAACGAGGGTCCCTCGGCTCATAGCACCTGGTCTTTGCCATGGGTAGGGCCGGTTTTGGTGCTGCATTTACAAGGACTTGGCCCACTGTGCAGAGCAGACTTCAGGTTCCACAGCCCTTTCCGCAAACCCTTTCCTATATTACCAGTCTAGGTGGAATCCTGAATTTTCTCTTAGAAATTTAGATGAAGTATTAGCATTCCTATTTTTCTCTGTTAACAAAATCAAAAGAAAATCCTGACACAAATTAGATCTGTTCTCCTAAATTCCTCTGAAATGTTTTGGAGAAATCAAAAGGAAAATTATTTCCAACGCTGATCTACTTCTCAGATCACTCTAAGGGTCAAAGAAGACCCAATCTTTCGTCATCCCCTTTCAATAAAAATTCCTTTGTCAGATCTGATTCTTAAGAGACCCTCGAAATCCCTACACACCAGGAACAGGGTTAACAATTTAACAATTCCGGAAGTGAAAGGAGGACATTCTGCCATATTGCAGGTGGGGGGTGGGGGAATGGGGGGTGGGGATGGGGGTGGGAAGCGGGAATCACGGGAATAAAAAGATAGACTTTCCCGGTTGGTACAAAGCAAAGGTTATAATCACAAGGAAGGGAAAGCACCTTGATGGAGAAGGTGTAGATTGGAGAGGAGGGGCAGTTATGGGTAAATCACTTTCCAGGCATGAGAGTCTGTTTTGGGGAACCACTGACGCCCAGGACGAGAAGCTACGGAAAGTACTGTGTCTGTTCCCTGCTGCCTGCAGCCTGAAAACAGCCTTGGGGTCGTGTGGTCATACTCGGCCTGGCAGTCCCCACGTGGCGGGAGAATAAAGACTGAGCAGCCGCAGGCAAAACCATAGTAGCAGATTGCGGCGGACGCCCAGGGCTGCCCCAGCTAGCTCAGATGCCTCTGCTCACTGCCTTGTCCGCCTGGCCCTTCCGAGCACAGCTGGCTTGGGGACTCCCTGTCTACACTGTCCTGGGGGTTGATTGTTTCTCTGCGGAGACCCTCTGTGCGAGCCACTGTGAAGGTTTCCGGCCGTTATTAATTGTAGTTTTGAGCTAAAACTTACTGAACTCTCAATCCTGAACATTTTGTAAGCGCTTTCCACGATTTATTCCATTTAGTGTTGACATCAGCTTGCTTTTTTTTTTTTTAAAAAAAAAAACTTTTTATTGTGAATTGAGCGAAGATTTGCAGAGCAGATGATGAGTTTTATATTCAACAAATGATATACTTTGCTTCATTATATGATTGCAATCCCCTCCATACACCAACAGTGACAGCATTTGGCATCAACTTTTGAGAAATTAACCCAATTTTTAAACTGTGAAAACTGAGGCTCAGAAAGCCGCTTTCTACTCCTGGATCACCCCAAAATCTCTACACTCGTAAGCGCTCTACAACAGCCACGCAGAGGGAACCGGGAATTGGGTAGTGAGGAGTGTGTGTGGCCAGGGGCGGGTGGGGGGTGGATTCGGTTGGCTCTTGCGGGGCTGCAGTGGCCTTCGGCTGTAAGAGCTGCACGTCGGTGGTCGGGGCCCAGAATCCCACAGGAGCGTGCGCTTCGACAACCCGTGGACACTGGAAATCACGTAGACTCTGAAGGGAGCCTGTCCGGTGCTTCTTCCGAAACCACCCCAGTTTCCAAGAAGCCAGACCATGGTGCAAGGCCACAGAGGACAGGCCTCTCGAGTGGAGCCCTAAATTCAGACTGACCTCCCTATGCGGGTTCCTTCACTGGAGCCCGGGGCAGACTTCCCGAGGGCTAGTCACGACTCGAAAAGCTCCAGCCAGTCCCCAAATTTGCATTTGAGCCGCCCCCTCAAGGGCCTGTGAGTAAGGAGTGTCCACCAGGCGCACAGACCACGCCAGCTGAAGCAGAAAGGGAGAGAACTCGGCGGCGGTGGCCCGGGCCTCGCTGACTTCTAGCTCCCCCTTTGGTCCCCGCCCCCGCCCCCGCCGCAGCGACCCCTAGTACTAGTGACGCCCTGCGCCCTTGCTCTGCCCCCAGGCCTGACGTTTTGCTTTGGGGGCCGTCCCCACTCAAGTGCGCACTTGGGTCCCCGCGTGGGACCCATCTCACGTCAGGGCCTGCAGGGGCCGGTGACGCGCAGGGAAGGAAAGGGGGTGGGGCGGGGTGCGGCTGGAGGAGATGCTGGAAGGAATCCCAACCTCCCGCTACCTCCGACCGCAGGATTCTAGAAAGGAGGGGCAGCGGGAAGAACAGAGGGAGGGTCTAAAACCCGGGCCTAGCAGGGTCGCTCTGAGGCCAGCTCAGGGGCCGAGTGGGGACACTAGAAGGGTCGGAATGAGAGATGAAAGAATGTGTGCTGTGTGCGGGAGGCCAGGTCAGGGCCTGAGGCCGCTCTTCGTGCTTACTGGTGTGTGTCTGCACCTGGGAAGCGCAGAGGATGGAGCTTCTGCATGGAGAGAAAAGAAAAAAGAAGCAGGCCCTCAGGACACCGGCCCCCGCCCGCACCCCCGCCCTGACTGTCCAGCAGCCGCCTGTGTGGAGTGATAATCGCGCCCGCGCGCTGCCCCCGAGAAGGCTGTAAATCCGCATCCATCACCGCAGCAGCCAGCCATTCGGTCGGAATTAGCCAGTCACTATGGCCTTAATTACTTTGTCAAAGATGAAAAATTGTAATTGATTTTGTCCTCGATCACTTTGTCCCCCCTCATTGCCTTCCACTGCTGATAAGCAAATAAATAGCTATTTTTGAGAACCCATGTCCACCCAGTAGAGTGGGAATAGCCTACTAGAAAAGAAGCCATAAGGTGGCGGCCCTGACGCTAGAGTTTCTGCCAAAACACAATGTTGGAGTGTACCAAGGGGGAATCTTAAGCAGCAGAGGGTATGGAGGGAGGCCTTGTGGAATCTAGTCGCAGCCCTTGGTCCTGCTGGTGAAAGAACTGGGAGGAAGGAAAACCCTGTCTTTAGAGGGCCTGTTCAGGTGTTAGCAGATTCTGGTAGCACCATCCTTCTCTGGTTCTCTGGGCTGCTGAGGGAAATAGCCATCAGTCCCATTCGACAAAAAAAAAAAAAAATGGCAGAATTTGCCTAAGGACAGGGGGCAGAGCCAGGATTTTTGAGGCCAGATCCATGTTGACTCCAGTCCACCCCATCACTAGGGACACAATGCGAGGGCCTGCGGTTGCGTTCATGTGACTTTGATAGGGGAACTGTAAACCCCTACTATGCATTTAGATGATGAATGTGAGGACTTAGTGTGGGCTTCAGGTGACACTGCCCATGTCAAGAAGCCATGCAGTATTTTCGTCCCACTTGTCTACTACTGTTGGTTCCAATGCAGTATTCAGGGTTGCATTCTGCAGACAGACTGCACCACTTCTAGCTCTGTGACCTTGGAGGACCTTCCCAATGTATCAAATAAGGATAGTAAGAGTATTAACCTATATCAAAGGTTGCTTGGGGATTAAATGAGCTGTACAGTGAAGCACTCAGATTGGGGCTGTCTAGGTGGGATGCTTTCAATAAGTGACTGTTGTTATTCAGTCTGGATGAATCTTTTTGTGTCCCCCAAGTCCTTCAGAGTTAACAAATCAATAAGTTCTCTTTCCTGGGCTCGAAGGTCTAGTGTAGGTAGACTCACATAACAGAAACTCTTTATCTACAAACTAGATAATCACTGTGCCACAATTTCCCTACTCCTTCAGCAGTTTGGTCACCAATAATAAAGCATTTACCTTCATTAAAAGAAAATGGGGAGCATTCTGCAAAAGTGCCCAAACACAAAGACTGCTAGGCACATATTCTGAGGCCCTTTCACTTGGATTAGAGCAAATCTCACCATAAACTGCAAATGCTTAGAGCACTGTCATCAGTTTCATCATCCAGTTCTCATCGGAACCCTGGGTACCAGAGAGACACTACTGATGAAAGCAAGCTTTCCTCACTATGATACTTCAGAATACACCACACTTGGAAATCCTGGCTCATCTAAGTAACTAAACTGTGTGCAAAATGTAGGTCCCAAACCTTACCACTCAGACAGGCAGGATGCTTGCTCCTGAGTCAGCAGCGGCAATGATTCTCACTTCACTGCAGCAAAACACAGGGCAGTGGGCGCCGGCGCAGAAACAGGGCATTTGAGAACAAGCTAGAAAGGACATCCAAGGTCATTTGTAGTCCTGCATCCTTGCTTTACCAGTGAGAAAAGGGAGGCCCAATGAGGAAAAGTGAGGGCTCAAGACCATTTAGCAGATTAGAAATAGATAGTCCAGCAGCAGCTTTGATTTAAATAAATACACATTATTCTTTGATCCAGCAATCCTACTCTTAGGCATTTTTCCCAAAGAAATAAAACTACCATGCAAGATTGCTTATTATAGCTAACAGATACAGTGAATGCTTATGGAGCAAAAGTATCCACCACTACGTATATCTATAGCACAGAATTATGTACACTTATTTTAAAAAGAAAAAAATTAGAGCCATACAGGTAGTGTAAAGAGATATTCATAAGGTACTGAGAAAGTCAGATGCCTTTAAGTGTATATAATATGATCTCATTTTTGTAAGCTGACCACTGACTAAAACTCTTCACGTGTGTGTCCCAGACAAATGTGGAAGGGTACACATTAGGTACCAACTAGGAATAGCAGTGTGTAGTGTGGGCATTGATGTAAGTGGAGAGAAGATAGACAAGAAGAGCCCCCTCAAAAAAGGGGGGTAAAGACAACGCTTTTTAAAAAATGGTTGAAAAAAAAAATAAG